TATGGAACCTGATAATGCCACGTCAAGACCTTCGATGTGAAAAAAAATGATGTTACGTGGGGACGGCCTCATCGGAATATTCCGGCCGACCGGCGAACCTCACGTTTTCCCGAAAACTATAAATACTTGTCTTTCTCACCAACTTTTTTAGCCCTAGAATTGAAATTTCCCCCATTTCGTCTCCAACCGCAGCCATGAAAGTCTCCTTCTCCCTCCTCTCTCCTTCCAAATTCTTTCCTTCTAAGTTCCATTTCTCCTTCCTTTATTTCTCTGTTGACCGATTTAAGTCTTCATCTTGATATCAGAGGATGCTTCAGAGGATGCTTCTCGCTACTACAGTGTGTGATGCTATCTTTCGTTCCAAATCTTCTGATTTACTCTCTGGACGCGTTTTTGGGTTTCTCTTCGTTCCGATCGAGTGAAGGGTATCTTGTGGGTGTCTTTGGAGATGATGGATGCTGTGGGATTTAACTATCCCGTGGATGTTTCGAAGCTTAGGGTTACAAAGGACTCTGACCCAGTTGTTACTACCTCGATCCAGAGCTGTAGCAACTCCCATAGACATAAAGGTCGAATTCGTACTACCCTTTTCCTGCTCTGTTATGTTCACTTAGAAATTGAAGTGTGTTTCGATCCAGCGCTTTTTTTTTTTTCATTTTATTGTATTAAATGGAGAATAAATCTTGGGCAAATCTAATTCATTCAATGGATTTTTTTTTTTTAAAAAAAAAAACATTGGGTAGGCAGTAAATGACTTATTTTATTTTTTTTAATTGAAGGATTAACTGTTATGTGGATGTCTGATTGCTTATGCGCTAGGGAAATCTGATTTTACAGATGGGACTAGCAGTGTTAATGGTCTGGAGGAGTCAGCTTTGCAGGATAAGATTGCTGATGCTGAACTGAGTAGGCATGCTGTTCAGCAATCCTGTTGTCAGGGTGAGGAATTATCTGAACAGCATGATTCTAAGGGTACTGGTTGTCACTCAGCTCCTGGTGCTGAATTTGTTAGTGTACATCGAAAAGCAAGGAGAGTGTCTAGATGTAGTAATGGATCTTCTAAGAGATCACGGGTGGCTCCACCAGATGACATTGTAAATTCAGCTGGAGTTGATGATGTAAAATCTGTAACTGATAAGTCAGGATCTTCTCCTACTAAGTGCAACCCTCCAGGTTGTGCCTTTTCTTCCTCGGATTTCCAATCATTAGCAAATTTAATGTCTTTTTGACAGTCTTTATGAGACAATATGGTAGTTTTGCTATGCTTTCTTCTTCTTTTTTTAAAGAAAAAAATCCATATGCCCTGTAAGGCCTCTGTAGTATTTTTTTAGGTGTGCATCTTACACAGTCTTTCTCCTTCTTAGTGATTACACACTGATTATTTGTTCTCTCATTTTTTTAATTACATTATAGAGAAAATTCAACCGGCAAAACAAAGGCACAACTTTGGGGGCAAGCGAGGTGAGAGGAGGAATTGCAAAATGTCTATGAAGCCTAAATATGAGATTTTCTCTTTAAAGTCTGGTTTTTTGAGCTTTGGCAGTGGTGTTGGAGGGAACAACTTCTTCGGTATGAGTTTATAGCACTGTTCATTATTTTATCCATAGTGTAATGTGTATTATGCATTTTCATAGTACTGCCTTAGCTTGCTGATTCTCGTTATGAATGTCGGCATCATTGGTATTTTTTAGCTGATCTATATAGCATTAGCAATAGTTCTGATTTGCAGTGGTCTTCATGACCTTTCCTATCTTCATTGGTTATCTTCCTTGATGATGTTCATATGTCTGGTCTGTGGCACATTTAATATTTTGAGTGTATAGTAACATCTTTGATGTGCATGTTGGTTTGATCTCCTTTTTATATTCATGTAGTAAGTTCATTTATTTCTAATTATCTTAAGTTTAATTGATTTCTATTTCTTTCTTCTCCAGATTACTGTTTTATTCGTTTTAATTCATTGTGCTCGTTTTGACATCATTCTCAGGAGCATATGGCCTAAAGCCAGATGTTCAAGATATAACCAAACTTGTAGATGATGTATCATTAAATGAACTCCTTGATGGCACTTATGAGTGCACAAGTTTTGGCAAAGACAAGGGAAAGAAAGCACAAGTGATGAATGGAAATTTTCTAGATTCAGTTAGAAAGGCATGGTCTGTTGTTCCTCCTCAGAAACCTGTTCAGCACCAAAATATTTCTGAAATAGATAGCTTTCCAAGCAAGAAATTTCCCACCTATCCATCAAGCCCCGTTACTTTAGCAGCACGTGTTGTTAATGGTGAGAAAGAAGATTGCTGTCCAGCAGATCTTTCATCATCTAACAAGGTTAGTTTGTGTTAAAATCAATATCAGTTACGTAGAATGTTGGGGCGTGTTTTTATGTCTTCAAGAATTCCTTTTTTCCTTATTGCAATCTGTTGTGATTTCATAGTCCTTCAATAAGGTCCATTGCATGCCATTGTTGTTTTTCCTTTTTTGCATGTTGATAAATAAATGATTTAATCGTATTTGTTATCTTGTGCTGAAGATCCTGGATTCTTGTGGCAAGCCTGAAATGCGAGCCGCTCTTCTGGATTTCCCATTGTGTCAGCCTAAAGATGTCCTGGAGCACTTGATGTTGCCTCCACCGAAAGATTTGGAGTCATTGCTTCTAGATGCAGCTAAGCCCTCTTCATCTTCAAGAAATACTTCTGATTTACGTTCAGGCAAGCAAATATCTCGCCGACCTAGCTTGCCGCCATTTCCCTGGTCACATACTTCTAATGGACACTGTAGAACCAATTCTGATGTGGTTAAGTGTCTAACAAGTAGGACTACATGCCAAGGTAGATGGGTAAAAATAGCAAAGGCTGCCAGTTCTCCTGGAAGTGGAACTTATTCTTCTACTGACTTGGAGTCACTTACATATGATCAGAGCATGGTTCCTTTGAGATCAAAGTCTGGTGGTTTAGATAATAGGATTTTCCCATCCACCAGTGGCCTTCCTTTCGGGGAATGGGGTTCACCTTCTCTTGCAACTGATTCTAGAGCTTCCCAAGTTCCTATAGGTAGTATTTTGGAGTAGTTTCATGTTGTTCATGACTCTCTCTCCCCATCATCTCTTTTTGTGACACAAACATGCTACATACATGTTTTTATTTATGCATTTCATTGCCCCTTATTTTTTGGGCTAACAAGGAATTCTTTTTTTCCTTTTTGAAAATGCAGAATCAGGATCTGAACTAAAGGATCAAGTTAACGGTACGATTTACTCTTACAAGTAGTGATCTAATGATTTTAACCCCCTTGGAAAAACTAGGGAACTTGCACTCCTCTACTCTACCTCCATTGAGGCACAGTAGCGATTTTTCTTTTCATTAAATTATGTTCTTTCCTTTGAAGGAGTTTTTTCCCCACCTCTCTGTTTCCCAATTTCCTCAATTTATCATGTAGCCCCGTTTAAGCCCCTCCCAGATCCAGCTACATGTTTTATTGTCTAAGAGTGTAAATCAGCTAAATTTTCCTTTGCTGGTTCTGGTAAGCTATTTAATTTTTCTACCAGGTAGCTATTGCAGACTGTATTTCAGATGGTTTGGCTAATTACTTTGATAAGGCCATGTCTCTAGCATGAAATGTATAGTTGTGACTTTATTACATAGCATAGGAAATTGCTAGATATAAAATTTAAATATTTTCTTGACTGGTGATTGTTTCTGTAAATCATTTCTTACACACTTTTGTTTGTCACAGATGCACGGTGTCCAAGACTACTAGCTGCTGCTCAGACATTATGTGACATTGCAACCAATCCCTTGAGAAAAAATCTGAATGGGTTTTTAAGATGGCTAAAGAAGACTCCACAAAAGACCATGAAAGCTCGCAAGTCAAGATTGATTGAGAAATCTGAGGAAAAGTATTCAACATATTCAGTATCAGGATCTGTCAAACTGGTGAGAAGTGATGTGGAACATATAATGCCCTCGAAGAGGCCTAAACTCTCCACAGCTGAGAACAAAAAGGGACTCGGTCATACCACGTGTGTTAGAAAAGGAACAATGCCTTCACCTACCCCAAAATCTAGTAGATCATCACCTGGCAAATCAGTTAGAGAGTCCATTCTTGAAGCAAGACATTCTCCTGCTACAGTTGTTAAGCAACCGTGTTAATGCATCTGTCAGCAAAACAGTCAGCTTAAACTTTGGAAACTAACGTCAGTTGACTGGAGCAGAGGGAGAGATAAGCTGGACTGATTTTTTCTTCTTCCAGTGTATACATCTTCCTAACGCAACAAATTCTTGTTACATCAAGCCTTCTGTCAGGTTATTGGCAGATCATGTTTTATCTGTATATATTGTTTGTTTAGGCAAAATGGGATAGGTCTTTTTAGGATTTCAGCTGTAGGAGGAAGGGGGGAATGTTGTAATTGAGAAGAGGAATCCATGTTGTAACATTTGAGGTAGCTGCAGAACACTGCAGGAGAATTCTTTGCAATGTGAAGAAGAAGAAAATTGTTCAACCAATAGAAATCTCAGTTTTTTGCTCCTCTCTTCTTAATAGTATCAACAATTTCATTCAGTTCCCCCAGTCTCAGTTATCCATATAGTGGCAATCGACACTGACATTCATCTAAGAAAGGACACCTAACAAGGAATTAATTGAAAATGCTCAAGAAAACGTTTGATCTAGGAGCAGCAGTAGAGCCATGACAAACCCAGGATCAAACCCTGGTTGTATTACCACAAGAAACACCGCCATCGTGAAAGAAATGCCTCTTATCGTTGCTTATCATTACGAGGAGATCTTCTAATAATTAAGAACTTCAGTCTTTACACTAAAAATCTCAAGTTCAAATTCTGAATAGTAGAGAGAGATTTGGGAAAGAAGAGTTATTTTCTATTGCATAGTCAATCTTCTGATGTATCAAAAAAAAAAAAAAATCATTGCATCTTTTCGCTTCATCTCTGCCACTACCTTCTTTGCCTCATCTTCCATTTTGCATGATTTCTGGTCATATGATCTTTTTTACATATAATTAGCACAATTTTGATTGCCGGGCAACCCTTTGTATGCATAGGCTATCACATTAGAATTTCCATGAAAAAAGCTAATCCCTTTATTTATTGATGATCTTGTCGATTCTGATGCACAAACTTCCCCTTCATAAACATCCCAGCTTTCTACTAGTTTTAGCTTCTACCCGTCAAAAAATGCATGTGTGTTATATCAAAGTAATAATTAGCGAGATTATTGCATGATTTTTGGCATACCTTGCTTGAATCCATTCGTGATTCGTCAACCCGATACACGTCTGAATCAATTACTGTGAATCCATTGCAACTGACAATTAGTGATTTTCTCCACACTGTTAGTAATTTGGTGGTGCCCTGGAATGGATCTTGATCACCTCAGGGGACAGGAGCTTCTGACATTCGTCATGATCATCATGGACTGATCTTGACAACAATATCAAGAAAAACAACATCTCTATGAAAGCCCTTGTTCTTGTGAAGGTTTGAGAAGATTAAGGGATCAAATATTTATAGGATGTATCAATTAAGATCTGGATATAAATGCACGAGTGGCTCTAGTCTATTGAGAGTTGAAGCAATAGACGATTCTTTCCTGTTTTCTGTACCTAAACTGGTCATGCATGCCTGGTTTCCTAGAGACAAAGGTTTTTGTTTAATTGCTTTGGACAAAGCGAATGTTTTTAACATTCAGCAACGGTTGATTTTAGATTAGACATTTCAAAGAGATAGAAAATCAGCAAGTTTTTAAAGGTAATCGTTATATACACATGCCATGCTGAGATTGTGGTTTTGGTAGTTTTCAAATCCAAATAATTAATGTGTTTATGAGCTGCCTTTTTGGAACTTGAATAAACATTTCCAGACAAAATGGGTCTGCCAGCATAATTGAATCCACGCCTTTGGGGTCACCACACTTGGCTGTATTCTACATGTGTAATTGAAAATTGAATCTACCTGCTCCATTCCCCTCCATAGGGACATCACTTCACCAATCACCATCAATGTTTTGTCATCGACATTGTTTGTAATGAAGGGAATAAATTCTTAGGAAGATCTTCCCAAATCAGTCCATCAAAGACAAGACAAAACTCCTTTCTTTTACCTGCATCTGGGAATTCAGTTGCAACTTCTTTTGATTACGTTCCAGATTCCATATATACTTCTTGTTAATGTCATGACTCATTAAATGAGATACATAAGACGAGCTGGGTTTGTCGTTTGCTTTAGGTTTGGTTCTGTAAGCCCAAAAGATCAACCCAAATTGCTATTGGGTTGGGAATTGGGATCACGGGATGGATCATCAAACTTTTAATCCAAAACGGGAGAATGTGGGGAGGGGAAGGCCAGGATCAACACATTTTGTGCATCTCAAACAAAAAGGAAAAAGGAAAAAAGCAAAAAAAGCAAAAAAAGAAAAAAAGAAAGAAAGACAGAAAGAAAGAAACAAAAAGAAAAGAAAAAGAAAAAGAAAAAGAAGAAGCTCTTCATCTTAAATTCAAATTCAGAAGTGAAAAAAAAAGGTTAAAATGTAATTTATGTAGTGCATTAACCTAAACCAACAATGTGTAAAACAATGATAATTTTTTTTTTCAATAAAAATAAAAACTCTTGAGTTCAAATTGTATACATAATAATCAAGTGGGATCAATAAAACGATGAAATATAATTGTCTTTCAAAATAAATAAAAACAAAAACTAAAATCCCTAACCAATTAACCATTAATTTTTTAACCTACACCCTTACACTGTATCTATGTATAAATTATAAATGTTTAATAACCTTACATGTGCTTTAATTTATACAAAACCTAAATCTCTAAATTTCTATAGATTGATCCATCTTTCATTTTTTTTTTTATGGATAATGATTGGTACAATCTTCAATTCAACACATTGCGTGACACATTCATTAAAAAATTATTATTTTTTAATTTAAAATTAAAGACAAATAAATTTAATGATATAATTATACACACAGAATATAAGAATCAGTTGAATTGACTATATTTATATTATATTTTTAATAACTAAATCAAAAATATGTAAAAAAATATGTTGAATCGATGATGTACTAATTATTTTTCATAAGAAAATGAAAGATGAATTAATCATTGTCCTTTTCTTATATATGAACATGACTCCTAGGAACCTCGACATACATGACTATTGATTTGCCATGGCTGCTTAAAGTGGGTCATCTCCTGTGCAAAATCCGGCGCAGGCTACAAATCTCAATTGCATTCTCATTAGCAGAGTTAGATCAGCTACTTCTTCCTTTTTCTGCTGCCAAAATAATTGGAGGGAAGAAGAAGAGGAAAAAAAATAGTTCTTTTCTTTCTTTTTTTTAAATTTATTTATTTATCTAAATAGGAAAATGACACTCTATTCTTCTTTTCTCTATTTCCCTTTATTCAAACATATACTGCTCTATGAATAGTTTTGGTTATAAAACGTAAATTTCAAGGAAAGATTTAGACGTACATTTCCGTGAAACTGTTGAGTACAGATTCTTTGAATCAGACTAAATGAAGCACGTAGACTGCTGTTTATAAGTAATTAATAAGAAAAAGACTCTCTGAGTTTCAAAGTCCACAGTCCACACCTAATCAACTCAAAGATTAAATTCACCTCCACAAGTTAGACCTTCCATCCCACTTTTTACTTTTCCTCCAGCTGTATATAGGATTATTGGGAAATTAAAGTTTTATATGTATATATTTCCTCAAAAAAAAAAAAGTTTTATATGTATATATAAAATGCGGTCTTTTTACGTAGAGCATCATGCAATGACAAGAAAAACAACAAGAGCAAAACAACAAACAAAGCGTTAATTAGTCAATGCATGTAAGAAAAAAAATATATATATGTTTTTTTTTTTTTGGAAATTTTCTCTTACGTATATCCATCTAACTCCACCAAACAAACTCATTGATCTTAATTTTCTATATAGATGGAGATGGTGATGAGACAGGGGGCGGCATGCATGCATGCATGCATGATTCATATTTATGTGTATACGCCCCCACTTGATCCATCGTTTTCTGCTTGCGTTAATCAGACATGCATATAATTCATCAGTCACATTCTTTCTATTAATCACATTTCTTTGGATCAAAATATTGTTGCTCTGATCTTGTCAACATTAATTCTTGCATAGTAGCTAGTTTTATTGTTTTTTAACCTTCAGTCGGAGAAATTAAAAGCATCCCAAATTATCGATCCAAGATATTCATGTTCTTCTCTCCAAAATTGAAGTTCAAGTTGTTGAATTGGTCTTGATGATTATATATATATGCCCCACTCGTAATTTTAACTTAAAAAAAGAAAATTTTAAAATGTTATTAATACTAAAATGTCTAAGTATGGTCAAATAATATAAATGCAACTTAGGTAGGACTTTACACCATCATCTCATTTATTTAAGGGTTGAATTCATTAGAGAAAACAATTATTTTATAACTATGACTGAATGTTTTAATTTTTCGTTTTCTCATTTTAATTTTTCTCTAACATGGGATTTCAAGCATCATACTAAGAATTCCAATTTGGTACTACCATAATAACTTATCAAAGACACATAAGAAAATAAGTTCCATTTCTTCACTAAATTCAAAATTATCATTTTCTTGCGTTAAATTCTTTTATATGTACAATGATAGGTAAGTGGAACAATATATGGTAATGTTTACTTAAAGTATTCTAAAGATTCACGCTACCAAAAAAAAACATGGGTTGCTTATTCTCTCGATTTTTCAATTTAATTAATTGTGCTTGTTGATTGATTGTTGCTTCATCAAAACAAAAACTACCTTCTAATCTTTTATGAAAACTAGTGGTCTCTACGTGCTAGGCAGGGCATTTTATTTTAAATTTATATTTATTGATTTGTTTACTTTTTATTTCGTAGAGTATTGATTAATTTTTGATAAATTTGTCTTCAATTCTTTAAGAAAATAGGAGTTTCACCTTTATTATAATACAATGAAATTAATTGTAAATTTATATTAAAAATTTAACAAGTTAAAGTTTGAATTTCAAATAAATAACCTATTCTAAAAGAGTTTTTGTTATACTACGATTCATGTTAGATTTAAGTAAGATTTTTAAAATTTTTTTATCTTATAAATAAAGTAATAATTTCAATATAAATTTAACTAATTTTCAGTTTTTAACTAAGAATGAAAAATAAATAAATAATCATCATTCTAATTTGAGGAAGAAAATATTGAAATCTTCAAATAAGAACACAATTTGAAATCAAATTTAAAAAAAAAAAGAATAAAAATAACCGAAAAAAAAAAAAAGTAAAAAAAAAACAAAAAAAATTTAAGAAATTTTTAATTTTGGGCAATAAAGCAATTTGAAGTTTAAAGAAAAAGAAAATTAAAAAAAGAAAAAAAAAGTCCAATGAACCGGTAAATTGAAAAATTGAAAAAAAAAAAAAACAAAATAAATAACAAATTAAAATAAAAATTTAAAAAAGGGAAAATTGAAAGGAAAAAAAATGA